ATGTTCTGTACCAGCTGTAATTTCTGCATATCCGAGATGGATATGGAGGGAGAATACAGTTGGAATCGAGTTCAATCATTGGTGGATCCATCCAAATATTTTTAATTTGTTGCTTCACTGTAGTTTGTTCAATGCATCAAGGTTAATGTTACATTGAAATTAAATATTTAAATTTTTAAAAATTAAAAAATATTTAAAATATTTAAAATATTTTAAATTTTTAAAACATTAAATTAAATTAAATATTTAATATTACATTAAAATTAAATATTACATTAAATAAATTTAATATTACATTCAATGCCTGAATACTGAAATGTTGCCACAATGAGAAGGGGACTTGACTGCATCTGTTGCAACCAAAATTTGTAATCCCCAAGAGCTAAAAGCATTACAACCTTCCAATTACAAGTACGGGCTGATAAATGATGAAAAGTGCAAATGCAACATAAAACTTCCTCACAAATCCAGGAGCTGCTGATTTTTGCTGATTTCCTGCAAAAATGGCTACATTTTCTGAGCCACATAGGATAATGTAATAGCATCTATGCAACTCAGAAAAGGTAACCACCATTCCAGACAATCAGAAAATTTCTTTCTTGGGAGGATTAATGTATTGTTGCTTTGTTTTTTATAGAACCAGACCTTATTTTCCTCTGCTTGTTTCCACGTTGTCAAAGCTACTAATATTTAGCATCAAGGGTAGCCACTTCAGCGGTCCAGGGGTCATTTTTCTGCCCCAGGATCCTCTATGGCAGTGCTTCGCCAGCTATCTGATGTAGGGGACTAGTAATTTTGCCCCCCCCCCTTGTGCTAGGAACCAGCACCATATTTGTGTACACTGACTACAATTGTGCCTTTCTTTCTTTGATGTTTATTTATTTATTTATTGGATTTCTATCCCACCTTTCTCCCAAAATAAGAAATGGGAAACTCACCAGGCACCAGCAGTCAATAGCTCATGGACCAGCACTGGTTCAGCAACCACATCTTTCAGTGACACTGCTCTAGAGGATATGTGGATACCAAAGTGGGGAAGGGGACAGGGGACAAAAGTGGCCACTTCTGGGTTTGTAAAAAAATAATACTTTTAAGTTGAATAGTAGAGGTGGGGTGCAACCCGTTTAAAGGGTGAATTGTCACTCCTGAAGATTCCTGAAGGCATTTACCCTTCCCCCTCCCTAGAAAAACAGTTATCATGTGGAGCATGGGTGGCACAAAACACCTTTGGGGTCCTATTCTTGCTTTGTGTTATTTACAACAACTTTTAATCGTGACTTCCTGCAGTGACATTCAATGTCTCCATTGCAAATCTTCCTTGCTGGCCTGTCAAGAACTAAACATTTTAGGGACTGACTGTAAGGTCTTTTAACAGTGTGTAGTTTTTACTGACTTTTATCCTTTGCCTTTTTAGTGGATGTTTTAAATGGCTTTAATTCTATCAATAGCTCCTAATTACATTTAAGAATAATTTTCAATATGTTTTTACTCAGTCTTTGTATGTACTTTTAACTGCATTTGTTTTAATTTTTGTCAGCTGCCCTGAATTCCAGTTTAGGGAGAAAGGTGGGAAATGAATGAATAACAGCAGTACTAATTTAGTAATGAGCTCACTTAAGTGTTTTATTTTTCCTGTCTGGTGTACAAATTGCATGTAGATTGATTAATCAAAATATTTATATCTTGCCCTTTCTTTAAACATATTTGAGTGGCAGACAATAAAATCAAACTAGGGCAAGAAATAAGAAATATCATTAATTAAGACTGAAAATACATTCAATCTGCTTGTCACTTAAAATTATATGATTTAAACCTGGTA